ACAATTCTGTTCCCAGGTATCGCGCGCATGAGGCTTCAAAGCTGTGGATTGCTGTGCTTCAAAGCTGTGGATTGCTGTGCGTGTGTAGAGGTTATCGAGCGGTTGACGGAAGGGGAACTTGAAGTACTATACCTGGTAGCTGCACTATAGCTACCCTGGGTATCTATACCTGGCAAGGTGCCAACTACACCTTTCCATTCAGATGATGCAAATGATGCAAATTGCATTTCTTGCATCACCACCCCTCAAAAATCACCTCCAACACAACCTCAAAAAACCTTCCCTCGATGCACCCTCCTCCCTCAGCATGCGCCGAGTTTGCGTGTACCTTTTGCGGGCCACCCCCCCCAGACCCCCTAACTACTCACTTTGTTCGCCAAGCACAACTCAGCTGGCGCCTTATACGAAGGCTGGCTTTCGTAATCGGACCCAGTTCATGACTCATCAGATTTGGCCACAACTCCCCAGTGGGCGCCCCGGACGTGTAGAGTCTCCCCCTTCTTCTGCCGCTGAAAAGGCCATGTCGCAAAACCCCAACCGTTGAGGCTCCCAACCAGCTTGCAAGATGGGCACCTTACAGCGTGGGAGATGGCCGTCAGTTCGACAGTGGTTGAGTTCCACTTCTATAGGAAGCTACATGCTTCACGCTGATGCAACCAATGCACCGTCCAACAAGCTAGACTAGGACTTTGGAAGTGGTCACCAGCAACTGCTCGTGGTAAACATCTTCACTTGGTCAGAAACCAAGCTGTGCCAGCTTCTCGTGGTCTTCGCTGCCATGAAAAAGACCGTTGAAAATTGATAATGATAAATTAATATAAGACTTTATAGAGTAATGAGTTATTTTTTTGTGGCCGTTTGTTGCCTTCCTGTGAGGAAACAGTCCTTCACGATCCTTCACTACTCAATCCAGGCTCAAGATGCTCCGTCAGGCCCCTTCGCCTGACAGCGGCCCCTCGAGCTCCCGGGCCCGCAGCATCTCGCCGACTCCTTTCTCCTCAAAGCGGGACGGTCCGAAAAAAAGGAAAAAAATGTTTTTTTAAAGTAATAATTATTAATATTATTATACGGGAACATAACCAACCCTTGGTCCTTTTGTTGGACCAACACTGTTTGGTTTCTCCGACGCGTCTTCTCCGCTGACGCTCCGATGTTTGGATCCAATCTCCCCCACCGCGCCAGCACCGCCAGCCGGATGGACGGATGGACGGGGGCCCCATCTCTCAGCTCTCAGCTGGCAGAAGCAAGAGTTGTTGGAGGTGAGGTTCAGAGCAGCAGGTCTGAGTCATGTGTGGCATTCGGAAATGGCAGGGAGAGCAGAGTTCACAGCCAGCCCTCCGCCCCGACTCGCCGCTCCGCTCCTCATACTGCACCGCCGTGGCCGTGGCTTTCGCCACGTTGGACTGGTGCGGCCGGCCGAAAGCCGGCGGCCGATGGGCTCCACCGACTAGAGCGATGGGCGACTATAGCGATGATCCAAAAGAAGACGTCCAGAAATGGTGTTTACAGCAGAAAACAGCCGAATCCGTTTACAGTGGAGAAGAGCTGCACTTGTGACCTTGCAAGGTTCTTCCCTCTTGGTGTTGGGATGCCGGAATCTTCTTTCCTCGGAGCTTCGGACATTGATGAAAAGAAACCATCGACTGGTGAGGCCACTGGAAATGCTTGGACCCCTGCCGCAGAATGCTTGGCTTCTTGAAATCCCCCTGTAAGCCATTTCATCCGATGTTCGGATCAAGAACCTTTGCAAACCCCTCCCTATAGATAGAAGCTGCTGTCTGTGCTCAGCTGTCTGTGACCAGAAAAGAAGCCGCGTCGGCTGGGGAAGGGATCCAGTGGGCCAGAATCCACTGAAGCAACCAACGATATCCGTGGGTCGATGCCGAGCTATGTTGGTGGTTCACCAGTGGGGAGATTTTCCCTCCATGAATCAACCAGCCAAGAGTGCAGGTTGGTGAGCTTCAGGGTATAAAGGAGGACACAAAAGTGTATCGACTTTAGTCAGAATTTAGCAAAACATGCTGGTGATGCGCACGGCCCCTTTGTACATCAGTAGCATCATTGGGGTGCCCTCCAACAGCTGCGGTCCCGCACAAGCTCACATCAAAGGAGATCCTTTCACCCCGTCAGAACACATGTGATCACGGGTGGCACGTCTTGTCCCCAATGGGGTTCGTACCCGGCGGTTAAACCATGTAGCATCATGAGAACTCTGTAGGGACGGCGCAGTCTTTGAGATCCTATTGGCAGTCGGTTCGTTCCATACACGGGCCTCTTTTTGCCCCACTCACTGACTTGGTCAACATTGACAGCTCTGCATTGGATGTGGCCCCTGTCCCCGCAGTTGGTGGATGCTCCACAACATCCACAGCTGTGCGGCTCCTGTTCGCCGCCACCCATCCCCACCCCATCGCCACCTGCGAAGCGACCGGAAGGCGCACAAACTGCGTCAGCAACCTGCCGCGGGACCGTCCCGCGGGACCCCGGGTGCCCCGGTGCGGGGAAAGCAACCCTTGGCCGCAAAGAAGCACACAAACGGACCTGCAATTCCCATTGAAAAAAAAGAAAAAACAATATATATATATATTATTTATATATATGTTGACATTGTAATAAGGCATAATAAGACCAAAAAAGTCACCAAACAAGTTGAAGTTGCGGGACGTTCCAGTCTGTTCCTCTCATCCTTATATATACAATGTATTGGCAATATTACTCGTATTGGCATCCTGTAGATTATTGCTTCCAATATCTAAAGGTGGATCAACACCAAGTTCTGTTCTCATCGAAAGAAGCAGGATCACAAGTGAGGCTTTATGACAAGAGGTTTATGAGTGCGTTGTCAATTGCGAGCAGTCCAATGACTGTCTTTTTTTCTGCTGCTTTGGGGCAAGACATCCTAGCGTACCCTATCATGTTGACTTGGCTCTCTCAGTCTTTGACTGCAGCTTCAAGCATCAGGGGGTCTATTTTGAGGCTGCTGCTTCATTGAATTTCAGCTGAGGTTCCTTCCAAGTCAACTTTAGATGCAGTGGTGTTCTGGGAAAAAGAATATTATGATCATTATTAACAAATCTTGGAGACCTTGGCTCGATAGGCTTTCTGGAAAAGATCTGTCAATCAAAAGTCTTACCAGCAAGACAATTATTCCAGCCGATCACTCAACAAACAGCTGCGTAGATCGTCTTCGAAGGATTTGGAGATCGAATTGAGAAGTCGAGTTTCGACCACAGTGTGAGTTTGGAACGGAACTATCTTATCTTCCGCCTTTAAGCTTACTTCAAAACAATAAATAACGTCCATCAAGTGTGGTGCTTGTGTTCATCTTGCGGGGTTCGGAGGTGACACCGAACAAAAAACATCCCCCGTTTGACCCAAATGGAGGAGTTGAAACATCTCTTGCGTCACATTCCAAGATCCGGAATTTTGTGCCATAGTACCCACTCACATTCCGGTCACCAAACAAAAAGAAATTGTGATGACTTCAGAAGTCGTCGTTCCTCTCAGATTGGTCCTTGCTTCAAATCTATAGTCCATCCCCTAGAAGTCCAAAGAAAATATATTGACCGTCTGAAGTAATGACATTCCATTTCAGGTCCCCTAAAGACCATTCTTTTTATAGTCTTTGACTCCCAGGGCATCCATCAAACGCAACACGTTTCTCTCTCTCACTACCCCCTCCGTTCTTCGTTCACGCGACACACGCGCGGTGCGTCGACGAACGCCGGGTGTCCGAACCTCGTGCCGAAGGACTGGGCGGAGATGGAGGCATACCTGTCGAAGCCAGGGATGGTTGGATGGTTGGAGTGGACCAAGGATTGGGCTTGGAGTGGACCTAAGAGCCTCCAACCTACTAGCAATGGCCTCCAACCTAATTGATCTTTTCAGGGTGTCCATGGATGCTTCTTCAGTTTTCCAGGACTCGTCCATACTTCCTGCCACCGGCGAACCGCGCAGCGAAGCCACCGCCGTGTTTGAGGAAGGACGATTTCGAATCATGGGCGTCCGAGTCATGGAGACTGGCTTGCACCATTTGAAGGAACCATCTGGGTGAGTTTTACAATGACTGGAGCCATGGCTCCCACACGAATCAAATATGATGGTCAAATACATGAAGGTTGTCCAGCCTCATTGGTACCCTTCACCCCTTCATCCCAGTTCACTACTGAGATCTCAAATACAAATTTCTTCAATGATTCTTCAATGAACGGAGTGGACAGATTCCAAGAATTGGTTTTGAGATGTTTTGAATATGATCTTTTGGGGAGTGTCCGTGGATGCTTCTTCAGTTCTCGAGGACTCTTCCAGAGGAAAAGTCACATCATGACTATAGGAAGTCACATCAGGGGCAAACAGTGCAGGAAAGAAGAAAGTAGGAATCTGTACACCTGTGAGTCATGATGAACAGTTACATTCTCGCCACACGCACGGCCCCGAAAAAATATAACGCTCCACAAGTCAATATGACTTAAACCATCTTAAACATAGCGCCAGTATCATCAAGCACTGAAACACTGAGTCGGAAGTTCAGAAGCCAAAAGTATCATCTTTGTCAGGCCCGCTTCAAAAACGGCCCAGCCAGGAGCTGTGTGGAGCCATCTCAAAGAGAACATTGGGGCACATGGCCATCCATAGGCAGAGCAGCAGGTAGAAGACCTCAGCTCAAATCGGGTGAGGAACCCATACGGCCCATACGGATACAGTCGTTTCAGACTCAGAGTAGATGGCACTGGCACCAAAAATTGTCTTTAATATGGGGGTCCATATATGGGGGACACACCTTTCCACGATGATGCCATCTACTCCGAAACCACGGTAGATTGGGGCATCTGCGTAGATTCTTCGGTGTTTCAGGCGCGGCGCGCGGTGTGGAAAGAGCAGCCTCTCCTCACCGGGCAGTGTGGGGTGGATGACACCAGGCCGAAAAGGTCACATTTACTTAGCATGGGGACCTGGTTGGGCTCAGTTTCTTCTCTGCGGTTCAAGCTGCTTTTTGGGGGAACAGAAAACATGTCATATCTTACATCAAAGCTTGAGGGCAACTCTTCCGTTCTTTAGGCCCTATAGCTACATCAGCCGCCACCAGTTTCCGGCTTCCTTTTCGCCAGCAGAGCGGTTGGGTTGACCAGCTCTCAGCAACGGCCAGTGCGTGTGAAGATCACCACCGTTGTTTCGGACACACCCAGCCGTTCAGAAACCACATGTACTCGCATGTTTGACATTCACATTCTTTGGCCAGAATCCGTTGGCAGCCACTGAAAGCCTCTTTCCCCAACCTGATCCGGGTGATGGGCAAGACCAGGGTCAAAGCATTGCAACCTGCAAAGGCTGCTTCCCCGATCTCCGTCACTGAGTCGGGGATGGTCACACTTGCCAACGAGCTACAACCTGCAAAGACTCCATTCCCGATCTGGGTCAC